TCTGCGCTAACCAGAGTTCGTAATGTGTAGTACACTGGGCGCTCGGTCTGGCCGTCCCTCCTGGATATTAGTACTGCGCTCACGGCTCTCGTTGACACGGCAAGATACAAGAAAAGTTTTTCATTAAGTTTAGGGGCGGTTAATACAGGGGGATACAAGATAAGCCTTGAGCTTCTGGAAAGCCGCTTCACACTCCTTGTCCCATGCGAATCGCGCGCCGTTTTTGAGCGTTTTGAAGAATGGGGCGCACTTGTCAGCTGATCTTGGTATGAACCTTCCTAGTGCCGCTATTTTGCCATTTAGGGACTGGATCTCCAATGCGTTCCTCGGTGCCCGCAGTTGCTGGACTGCAGTGATCTGCTTTGGGTCAACCTCAATGCCGCGCTTGGTGATCATGAATCCCAAGAATTTCGCGACTTCTGCTCCGAATATGCATTTCAGCGGGTTTAAGCGGAGGCTGTACTTGCGGAGTGCCTCTAACGTCTCGCGCAAGTCTTCCAGATGTGAATTGTCCGCCTTGGTCTTAACGATGAGATCATCCACATATGCCTCAATATTCTGCCCTATCTGCTGTGAGAACACCGCGTCGATCATTCTTTGGTATGTCGCGCCAGCGTTCTTCAACCCGAATGGCATCCCGACGAAACGAAAGTTTCCGAACGGTGTCATGAAGGCTGTTTTTTCTTCATCTTCGCGGGACATCGGGATTTGGTGGTATCCTGAGAACATGTCCAAAAAAGACAACGTCTCATGGTCGGCGGTGGCGTCGATCAGTTGGTCAATGCGCGGCAATGGGTAAGGGTCTCCCGGGCACACCTTGTTGATCGTTGTATAGTCGACGCACATCCGCCAGGCCCATGAGGATTTTTTACCAAAACTACATTTGCCAACCATTTCGGGTATTTCACTGGGCGGATCAACCCCGCAGCTAACAATCACGCAACCTCTTCTTCAATGGCTTTCAGTTTGTTGCCTGTGAAACTTCGTCGCGCTTGTTGCCTTGGTTCCGCGTTGACCGGAACCGCAAGGCAATGTTGGGCGACTTGCATCGGAACTCCCGGCATGTCTTTTGTGCACCAGGCGAACAACTCCTTGTACTCCTTCAGCAGCGCTATCAACGGCTCAATCGCGTCACCCTGGACATGAGTCGAGATGCGTATCTTCTGCCCTCGCGTCAACGATGTTGGTCTGGCGGGTCCCTCCTTCTAGCTTCGGGACCTCCCATGATGTCCCGCGCGCTTCACCGGCCCCTGCCTTGGTGGGAAATTTCAGTTTCTGGTGGCACGTCCACGGGAGAGCCATGAACTTGGCTAGGAACGGTCGGCCAAAGATGCCGTTGTGAAGCGAGTTGCAGTCGACTATTGTGAATTCGACTTGCTTCGAGACGCGTGGCTCTTGGTCTCCGATCACAACTGGGAGGGTGACTACGCCAATGACTGGGACCCTTGTTCCGGAGAAGCCGACCAAGTTCCTCTGAGCGCGCTTGATTAGTCGCGGATCAATGTCAATTTGATCGACAGCGCTCTTGAAAAAGATGTATGCCGTGCTGCCCCCGTCTATCAGTAGGCGGTGAATTTTGCAGGCAGCTACCAGCGCGGTGATTGTAAGCGGGTCTTCTGATGGGACCCCCTGGGGGAACTCGGTGTCGTCAAAGCTCAGGTTGCACTTCGTCGGTACCTCGGCCGCCGCACATTCTATTGCGCGTTCGCGCTTGGTTTTTTTCTTCGGCGGTCTCCTTCTACTGTTACCACCCCGATTTCCTTGCGCACCACATACGAGCCGGTAGTGTCGTTGTAGTCGGCTTGCGGGGGCGGTGGGGGGTTTATTGGCTGTTCTGTCTGTTCCTCTGCTCCGCGGATGAACTCAGTCAGTAATCCTCTTCGTATGAGGCCTTCGATCTCGTAGCGCAACTCCCTGCAATCCTCTGTCCAGTGGCCCGTCTCTCTGTGGAATTCGCAACGCTTTTTTGGATCGCGCATATGTGGCAAGGACTTCAAGGGCGCGGGCCAGTTGATTTTGTAACCCTTCTCGCGCAGAACATGGAACACATTTTTAACTAAATCGTAGAGAGGCGTGTAGGCGTTTTACGGGCGCCTATCCGGTGACTGTCCTCGCTGAACCTGTTCTGGAGGGGGGGGGGGTGGGTGGGCGTCTAGGCCCGCTGTGTAATTGTATTAATTGTTCGCGCGACATTGGTAGCTGTTTCCGGCCTTGATCTTCTTTGGGCAATTTCGCGGGTTCAAAGCGCCCGACAGAACCCGCGCCGAGTGTTTCTTCCAGCGTGATGGCCTTATCGATTTTGACCTCTAGCTTTGTTGACACCGTGACTGGTCTTTTTGCTAGCGCTCGCTTGAGCTCCATGTTGGTGGTGGCATCCATGAGATGATGGGCGGCGGTTTTTGGGGTGAGATCTCTTACGGCCATCGCCACCCTGGACCACCTGGCGTAGAATGATCGCAGGCTTTCTCCGTCTTTTTGCCTGATATCTATCAGCGCCTTGAGATGAAGATGCCTTCTTTTTTGGGACGTGAACTTCGTTGTGAACAAGAGTATGAACTCTTCGAACGAGCGGATGATTCCGTTTGGGAGTCGGTTATACCAATCGAGGCATATTCCGGAGAATGTTGATGGGAAGGTTCTGCATAGCGCCGCGTTGGAGTTGGTTTGGAGTTGCATCCGCAGGCAGAAGGTGCTTACGTGATCTTCTGGATCAGTCGTCCCATTATAAGTTGGGAGGGTGGGCGGCATTCCGCTTAGGTGCTCCGCCATAATCACCGCGCTCAACGGTTGGTGTAGGGTTCTCCTGGGTGAGTTGGGGCAGTATTGTGGGGATAAATGCTTCTCCAAGAAGCTGAGGTACGCCCTTCCTGGTGGTTCGATTCGTTGCGCTTCAGTCGCGGGCAACTCAGCCGACGCTTGTTGTGGTAGCGAGGCAGTGCCTGACGCCTCTCCCAGCGTTTGTTGCGGCGCGACAGGCGCCACATCCGCCGTTATCGCGGCTTCCTTGCTCATCATGAGCGCTATGACTTGGCTCATTTGTTTTTGCATGTCGGCTATGACGTCGTTTTGCTTCGCCATTAGCTGCCTCATTTCCTTGGCTGTCAGTTCAGGCTCTTCTTCTTCAATGGGCATCGCGTTAAGGTTACTGGCTTCCGCGAATGCCCTTGAGGTCGTCATCGCCTTGATGGGTGTTGCCTCGTCGGGCAAGTTGGAGTTGTGTTCTGCCATTGGTTGGATTTTGGCTGCTTCTTTACTCAGCCCCACGGTGGGCGCCAATTGTTTGAACCTAACTGAGTGTAGAAGTGAGGTTCACGAGAATGGGTCGAGGAGAATAAGCAACGAGAATCAACCGTGAATTTAAGAACAAAGGGAAGGAAGAATGAAGTCGAGAGAGTTCTTTTAGAGAGAGAAGTTTGTTCTTTTCTTAGAGATAGAGTCTGAAAAATCCGATCCCCTCACCCACCAGAGTAAATGCCATATTTATAGGCTACATGATGGTGGGTGAGTTACATGGTGACATGACTACTGACATGTCAGAGGTCTAGACCACACCCCTACCTAGGACAAGTACATTCAGGCCCTTATTATCCCTAGGACTATGATGGTGACTACCTAGGACTATGATGGTGACTACTCTTCGAGGAGACACGGCGTCGTTTCCATGGTTTGCTGAACTGGTCAACGCTAGATCCAAACGTCGTCGCTCGGTGCTCGGGTGTGGCTTTGGTCTCGTTGGTGCTAACGCGCCCGACTCTCTTGGCGGTGGCGGTGGCGCGCTTCTTTGGTCTTGTCGGTGCTAACGCGCCCGACTCTCCTGGCGGTGGCGCTGTCGCGCTTCCTTGGTTGCGTCGGTGTTAATGCGCCCGACTCTCCTGGCGGCAGCACTGGAGTACTTCCTTGGCGCAGCGAGATCCGAGTCACATACCCAACAGGTGTCATATTTTAGCCGGAGCCTATGAGGAGACAGTGGCGATAAGGTTGTATGAAGATACCTTAGTAGTACTACACAGATAGGCTTCCTGGTGGATGATGTCTTTACCTGACCAACCACCTAATACTATGCAGGCTCATCAAACAACGCATTTTAGCTTTCTTCGGGATTTGGCCTGAACTGTTCGGCAGATTCCCACGTGTTACGCACCTGCCTTACCTTTTACACTAGAGGGCCAATTAAGAAATTTAGAAAACAAAAAATTCATTTAACTTTAACAAAATGCACATAACATTAAACTTAAGTGGTACAAGATACACAAATAATAGAGTTCAGTGGTACCCGACGCTCTATTCAAATTTAAGTGGTATGTCTGCCTCAATTCTCAAACTTAAATGGTACCCAAAGTATTTTACCCTAGTTGACCACTAACCATCAATTTTAATAAAGTTACAAAGACAAAAGTTTGTGATAGACTTGTCATATTGAATGTTTTAGAATCCAAATGAATTTTTTATATATTTGTGGTGTTCTAGAGAAATTAGGTATAATATAACAAAAATCATATTTCTAACAGTAAAGTTGTCGCGACGGTGAAGAATTGAGGGTTGTAGATATCAGGTTCGAATCCAAGCAAGGCCCGTTGGTGTTCCCGGAGGTACAAGACTGCTCGGGGCGTAGCCCTGTTGGCGTCGAAATTGATTGCAGGTGGCCTCCAGATTTAGTAGAACCCGCTGTCACAAAGTGGCACGTGAGGCCGAGGTCCTCGGCAGTAAAAAAAAAAACATGCGAGCATAGGTGACTCATGACTGTTGATCAACCCGGAACATTAATTAGATACTTGATTTCAACATTTTGGACAGAACGAGCCTATGTTTCCCTGCTCTATATGTACATCTCATAGACAAAAGTGAGCAGTGAAGCGGGAATGAATAGTGCAGCTGCTTCTGGATATGGCCACAAAGTAACTCTTGCTACAAAACCTTGCAGCAGGTAGGATGGTTAGGGAGTTCCAGGACCTCGAACATCAAGAAGGGATTGACCAACAAAGCTGGCTCGTGGCCACAAATTATAGAACTTGAGGAGTCTGTTGCTTCCTTCTCGTCTCCAAATGAGCAGCAAGTTGAGCACATTTCCTCTTCGCTTGTTCCACCTGTTTTTCTAGTTCCTCAACCTGGACATCTCCCCCAACATTGGGAAACAGTTAGATAACCAACTAGTAACCCCTCATCCAGAGAAATGAAGAGAAGTTTTTGTTTACACTTGACGCCTAATGGAACATCTACCTTCTGTTTCAATTCAATCTCCTGCAGACGTTGTTCCTCGCACCTGTTGGACGACCAGTTGCACAGAATTAACGAGTCTTTACAGGTTAAAGACTGATCTTACTGAATAAGATGAAAAGAAATAAGATATCAAATCAGTCTTTCAACCTCATAAACAGTTGTATGTTATCTTCACATAGCGCTTCTACTGACTGGGATCCGGAATCCTGGACTTTGACTTGATCACCTGCTCCCTACGATCAGATAAACAATATTGTGTATCAATGTGCTTAGCAGGCAGAGAAAAATTGAAATTCTGAAAAATGACACATAACCAGGAACGCCTGTCCATGGCATACTATCACTTACAGAAGCAATCCCAGTAACTGGTGGTTCTGTCGGTAGACCAATTGGACCACTCTTCCCGAGTTCATTGTAACTGGGATGCTGAAGAGGTGGATTGTGGTTCATTTCATGAGCAGAAGAAGATGAAAGATCAGTGTCAAGCTGGTTAGTGGGCGGTGGCTTCTGTGTTTTGGCATAATACTTCATTGTCCGCTCAGCGGGAGATTGATAACCAAATAAATGGCAGTGGGCATTCCTGTCCAATCACAAATGAAAATCTGGCTATGATATTTATGCTCAAAACTAACCCTACAAAGTTATTAAAAAATTTCACATAATAAAATTGTTATTCCAGAAACCTCTACAAGGTAGAAGTAGAAATCAACAAACCAGTATTCCATCAAAATCTGTTTCAGCTTCGTCTCGAGCCTAATAAACACAGAAGATCTCTCAAAATCTTGTTTATCATGTGCTGGCTCTATGAAGTTCGCCTCAAGGACCCCTGTTGCCAGAATTGAAGAAGGAAAACTTTGAGCAAGTGCAACTTCAATATTGTATATCAGTCACAGACAACCAACCAATTGAGAAATGGAATTACCCACAACGCCATTTCCCTTTGAAGAACCTTCAGCAGTGACTTTCCAATAAGGCTTTTAACATAGAAAGAAAGCAACTAGTTATTAGTGACAAGAGGTGCCTCGTTGCATTAGTTCTCTGAAGATTTTCAATTATGTCAATTTTTTCTGATAATTACAGTTACACTAAAAAAGTTATAAAAGCACTTGTATGAAGGAGAACAGCAAATTGCATTTACAATATGAAAAAAAAAAAACGAACAAGCATGGCTGACAACACCAACAGATGAACATACCCTGATAAGGCGATTTTTATGGTATACATTGAAGCCACTCACTGGGAAAGGTGCCTCTGGAATATATCCTAGGGTGGCTTCGACAACAACCTGGCAAAACGAAGGATATCAGATGCTAACCCACTGAAGCTTCTTATGTAAATTCCTTTTCCACTAGTTCCAAAATTCACCAAACCTTTGAAAGGTAAAAGAATAGATGATTTCTTTTACCTCATTGATACCCGTTCTCATCTGAGGCTTGTAAATGACTTTTTTGGGAGATAACAAATGTTTGGCAATATGGTACTGCTCTACAGGCTTCCCCCTTAATATTATCTTGAAGTTTGTGAATTTTCTTAAGTACAGTACTGATGCATAAGCCTAAAAGAGAAGACAAGTTGTATCAGTCAGGGAAGCAGCAAAGTATGAAGAAACAAAACTCAAACACCCAACAAAATATGAAGCACTACCCTCAATGAAAAGCGAAGACGGTAAGAAACATGAGACTGAAGCTCAACTACTCTTTTGTGTAGCTTTGCCTGACCCCCACGATTAACTTCGTCTCTCAACCTTATATCCTATATCCACCATAAAAATAAGCCATAAAAATCAAAATCAAACTCCCAACAAATAAAACGACACCAAAATTATTAGAAATAGATTAGCAAGCCCCACTTAAGAAATGGATATCCAGTTTCAAAAGTTGAGTGAAATTTACTGAAAATTTGTGACATCTTTAGATACAACTACATACCTCATCGTCGTCGTCAAAGCTCAACTCATACACACCCTCATCATTCAGCCATAAGTTGTATATTAATATTTTTGTTCCATGCCGTCCAATACCCTCAAACTGATGTCCAAGTAGTAAATTGGGAAGGTAAGTAAATGTCATAACAATAGGCTGAATATAGAAAAGTTCAAGGACATCAAACCAATTGTTTTAAATATGCAAAGGTAACAACAAGCTTGAGTTTATACTACTCTGAACCCCAGCGTAACTATTCAGACTTAGGAGATAGAAGTAGGAAAGATCTTGTCCTTGTCAAACCTAGATAAAATTTGCATACATCCTTCGAAAGATATAATAGTCCAAATTACCACAGATGTTAAGTAGGACTAGTGTTTACTTTTCTCATAAACCACCAAACTAAATCATGAAGATTCTCTGCCTAAGCTGACAGAATCAAGTGCCCGTTCCTAACCACTCATGAGAAAATCAGGTAAGCTTTAACAGTCAACCTAACTGGTAGCCAGAATCAAGTCCCTAGTTTTGTTTTGTCAAAAATGTTCATGGATGTAAGTAATTCACATCCACTAGGGAGCCAAATCTGAAGGAAACTCATTTCATTTCATGTGCAGCCAGTTTCTTAGATGATATATTGTTTAAACATCAACCTGTTCCAGTAGCTCCTCTTTGCATGTGAAAGGAGACCACTCAAGGATGGTTTTCAAGTTAGAAGACCAGTCATCCTGTGAGCTGAATATAATTGGTTCAGCCCAATGGCCAGAGATGTCAAAGTCAATCTGCAACATAAGTGAACAACCATAACAATAAACAAGGTCTTTTTTGGCCAAATAAGACTAAAAAAAAAGGTTAAGAACAATAAAGAATCTTAAATTTTACCATTGGAACAACAACGTCATCCTGACTTGTTCTCCGCAAGAAGGTATATGATAAGAGACCCACACTTTGCGTTGCTTTGCTGAAGAAGATGCAATAAAACATAAGTGCTGAATATTGTTGAAACTACAACTCCAATTGGCCAAAGACCAAATTGTCCTTTTGCTGAAGAAGATGCAATAAAACATAAGTGCTGAATATTGTTGAAACTACAACTCCAATTGGCCAAAGACCAAATTGTCCTTAGATTTTTTTTTTGGCATTCTGTGTGAGTTTCGTTGTGTGATCAAAATACAATTTCAAGAACTTAGGGGTCGTTTGGTTTTGGTGATGGTTTGGTTGGAATAGTTACAATTCATGCATTGTCCACAATGCATCGTTTTTTTGAATTTTCTGCACTAATAATACATGCATTGTTTGCTTGATTTGACACAAACTATCATTCAAAATGAGTGATAGTTAAATCTCAAGTTTTTTGCGAGATTGTTGTGATTGTTTGATTGAGATTGTTGTGCCTTATTTTCTTCCAACTATGTCCCTACCTTTTTATGTGTGTTGCTTTTTTATATTAAAAACAAAGGGTAAAAGTGACATTTCACCCAAAAGGTAATATAACTTATTTAAATAACACAATAACTATCACAACCAAACGATGTAAACTACAATACACCAATTTTCGTATATACATGTATATTAAAATGTATGCATTGATGACAATGCATCTATTTAACTATCACCAAAACCAAACGACGCCTTAATATCTGTGACAACGATCACTTATGTACAACATGCCAGAGAAGGTACTTTCCTAGAACTTTGGAGACTAGTAGTCACATAGTTGTAAACTTCCAAGAACAGTCATCTATGGAGCAACCAAATATATCTGAAACACCGTAAGTGGGAAAAGACAAGAGCTGAATTTTTTAATCAGGTTCCAGTTGAGACATTTATGTGATGATACCCATAAAAGAAAGCAGGTGAGCTCAAAGACAAATTTATTCATCCTGCTTAGAAACACCAATGTTAACCACGGAAGATGCGAATTTAGTCCTGAAAAGAACACACATCATACTGCATAGCATTCTAAATTGCAAATAAAAAGGTACCTGGCAGAAGTAGCACGGGTAAAAACAATAACATCGGCACCAAGTCGCATGGTACTTGTCTTGAATCCATTACCATCTGCACAAGACATACAGGCTCTTCAGTTTCGAAAATACAGTCTAAATGCAGAAAATACTTTACCATATATGGCTGAGTAGTCGGAACAAACATCCCAAGACCCTGACTCAATTGTCCGTTGCAAACACAGAGATGGCCAATAATATGCGACAACAAGATGAAGATCTATGAATGACACATGCAGCTCAGATGATCTAAAAAGTAACTTGGATAGTTGAACAACCAGGATCCGAGGCCCTTCAATTTCAAAAATACAGGTCTAAATGCATTTAATACTTGACCATATATGACTGAATAGTTGAAACAAACATCCCACGCCAATCATATGTGAGAACAAGATGAAGATCCAGGAATGGCCATGCAGATTAGATCTTGGATCTAAACAATAACTTGGATAAACAGCTTCCAACGAAATGACCAGAATTTGAGGTACCCAACCAACACTGTCTGTCAGCTGATCCATTATTCAAAAACGTGCAACATTTCAGTTTTCCCCTACATGTTTGATGAAGCCCCTGGTTTCCAGCTATGACCTAACCTATTAAATTCGCATCCAATACAACTCGAGGATTGCAAGTTGATAAACATATAAACTAAAAGAGTAAGCAGCAATGTGAAGCACGAGTCCTAGCTAGAAGCTTCCTCAAATAAACCAAATCACCAGTTCAAAGTTAAAAGAAACCTCGATAAATAAAGAAAGATAATAGAGGTTACATTGTCCAATTGTCGTCTTTGATTTCTTTGAAGAATAGCCCAAACTCATGCATTTACGGATACCTTCAGGGGTCATCCCACCACCATCATCTGAACCATAGAATACAGTCACATACATTCTGTTATTTCCATAGTTCTTTCTTTCCCCTTTTAAGGATATATGTTGTGATTAAATATATAAATGCATGAAAATAAAATAATCATGGAAACAAAAGATTATATGTAAACAGATCAGAACCTAGGAAAAGCAAAGCAGGAGATTTATCCTTTGAGATTTCTACTTTATCCACTTGCACGAAGGTTGCACCATTTTGAATCTGACAACACAGCAGAAAGTTGATCATTAATAGAGTTGGCTCTTGAACTCATGCAAACTTGTATTCGGTCTATGCAAACATGTAGGCAGACCAATCAAGAGATCTCCGCGTTCACATGCTCACACATATAAAAGTGTATTAAAATGGAACTACTGCTTGAATACAGTTGCAGAGAATATGTAGCAGGACTTGCACACACCTCATCAACCGCATTATCCAAGAGCTCTGCAATAGCTGCAAGAAAATTTGCAAATGTGTAAGTGATCAGAATTTTATTAACTATCATTATAACTTGTACTGATAGCTAAGAGTTGTGAAAGAGTAAAACTCCGAAGATTGCTCCCATAGTTGTGCCGAAATCTATATAACCAAACTAGGGGATTCCTCTTCTAGTATTGATGTATGGAAGGCCATCACTGACCTGGCTGTAATCAACTTAGGCTACAGTCCAGGACTGGGATGCAATGTATTATCCTTAAGGACACAGTATTCTGCAATAACAAGATCTTCGCTTACTGCTGAATTTCCAATAGAGCAGAAAATTGTGCCTCATACAAATAACCAGAAAGCTTCCAGTTTCCTAGTGAAAAAAGATAGCCAGGCTGTGTCATCTAGCTACTATCTTCTCAGGCTGCGTCGAAGCTATAATCTTAAGGGTGACCAAGAGGTTACTCTCTTCCCTAATAAACCATGCAAAAGTACTAGATATCCATAACTCCAAGATGGGAAATATGCGACTACACAGCTTTAGGGTTTAGACTTGAGATGCATGATCTTCAAAAGCTACATAATTCTCCTCCTGAGGTCTTTGGTTTCCACACATCTAAACAGAAAACATTACAAGACAAGAAGGCAGCGACGAGCGAAATACCTCCAAAAGCCCATTTATGTGAAGTGGCATTTGAATGTAGAAACTTGGGATGAACCCGAGCATGCTCCAGCTCCCCTGCGACCCCCAGATCAATGAAATGGCCAGTCAGCATTATTAACTGTACAATACTAGAAATGAGGACAAGAACTTGGAAAACAGTGGCCAACTATTGTGAGAGAAATTCACCTGACGCGGGAGCCTTCCTAACAACAGGAATAACATCAGCGCCCCCAGCTTTCCAGAAGTTACGGCAGTCTAAACCCTGGTGGCCAGGCGTACTACGAGGAACTGAATAAGAACTCCGCTGCTGCGACAGCGAGTGAGGTATTTTCTGCGGTTGCTTCCTCGCAACAACTGCCACAACATCTTCGTCATCACTACTCCCGATTTCCACAACCTCCGCAGGAGCTCGCATTTCTGGTTTAGGAGGCATTTGACCTGCCATTCATTTACTGTAGCTATGGTTTGGGATTAGAAAATGAATCAACGACTTTCCTTCCCCTGGTTCTCTGTGACCTAATCCAGAAATCAAAGCTTTCGTTTCGTGATCGTCATCATCATTCCTCCGCCGTATTTACTATAGTGTCAAAACTCAAAACAGAACCCGCGAGTAACCCGCCCCGTGAATTTGATCCGCAAACCCGCTCTACCCGTAACGTGATTAAACCATAATCTCAATGATTCACAATCTAATTAATTCGAACGCAATCGACTCGTAACGCAATTAAATCTCATAATCCAATTGACTTGAACCCGATTAACCCGAACCCAACTAACTCGTAACTCGCCCGATTCATCGTATAATTACTATGTTATTAAATATATAGTCTTTCAAATTGAAATTTTTTGTTCTAAATCTAGGTAAAACGATTTATTCATTTTGTAAGGAAAAGTTCAAAATATGAAATTCACTTGAAATTATATATTTTTAATAAAATTACAAAAATTAAGACATGAAGTTCATTTGAAAATAAAGTTCTTTAACAAAATTAAAGAAATGAAATATGAAATTATCACAATGCCTATTATGTAAATATTTATGTGGATCACCACCACATTAGATGCACAATTGGGTGTTACATGTAACCCCCCACCCCATTTCTATTTCACATTCATTCTCACATTCATGTATATTAAATATGAATTGTAAGAATGTAGAGGTTATGTGATGCGTGCCTATAAATAGATGATATCCTTGTACTAAGGAACACAGGAATAAGAAAGCTCTATTCCCCCTCTCTTCTTGTGTCTCTACTCTTACTCTTGTGTATGTTCCTCTTTCTTGTTATTTCATAACACGTTATCAACACGAAGCTCTGCCAAAGTCATGGTGATGTGATCCAAATCCGAAGAGAACCCTCGAACTCGGATTATATGACCAAAGTACGCAGCCTTCCTTCTTTTGCGAAATTTTCGAAGCTTTTCTTGACAACTTGAAAATAAAGGATAGATATGGAACACGATCAAACAGATTCCAACTCGTGTGAAAGGCCAATTGGTATATGAAACCAATCAAACAATCACCCACTCGTGAATAAGGCCAATCGCTATTTTGGTAGATGCTCGCCACAACTAGACGCGTTCTCTAGTTGATAAAAGACACGTGAAACTCCTGGAGACTCTCGACAGAAGCTTGCACAAAAAGAACTCGTTCACAATGAACTAGAACTCAACTTTGATTGATAACTTGAATATTGGGTACCAAATTCGTAGGTCTTACACTCTCTATTTATAAAGGTCATAAAAACATAAATCTAACCTAAAAGGAATAGGAAAACAAATCCCGAACTAACTAGGAAACATAATACTACTTAAATAAGGACTATAACTCGTTTTCATGACCAAAGGAAGCTCCTTAGCGACTAAGTAATCTCCAAACACGTTTTTAATGCTTAAGGAAGCTCCTTAATGGTTAAGCAATCTCTTTCCTTGCCCTTTTCACATTTGGACGACTTGGGCAGCAAGGATGGACGTTTTGGGCTCCAAGAAATGTTGTAGACCCGATCCTTAATGCATTCTCCATTTTATCCATCAAGAATGCTCCTAGTTGATCCTTAAATCGTCGAATATGAATCTTCATTTTTGGACCACGGGAATTAAATATCGCGCTAGTCGATATCACATCACATGGTTGGTGATTGTCTCTCTACAGAATCAAATATACTTGAGTAAGATCACAACACGATCAAGGTATACAAATTTTCATGTCGTTTCTTGGTAGTATGTTTATCTATCTCATTGTCTTTGAGAGATTATTTGATCTTGTTATTTGTTCATATTATTTTATGAACTTATTTTATATTTTTCGATCTTGTAACATAGAGTTTGTGCTTGGACATTATCAGATAATGAAAATTGCTCCTGTTGTAGCAAAATCAATATGAGTTGACTTATCGATTGCTACATTGGACATATAGAGAAATAAAAGTCTAAAGATCTCATTTTCCCCCGAAGTGGAAAAATGAAGGAAAATGTGTCAAATGAAAGAAGTGGATCTGGTAACAAAAATGTCGGAATATGAGTTACCATGGCGATGGAAAAAAAATACACCGGAAGTTTGGATAACGACAATCAACAAATGTTTCTTTTCACTGGAAGGGAAAGATAAAATTATTACAAATGAGGATGACACAAGAATTCATGTAGCAAAAGTCATGATCATATACTATAACCTTTGTATGTCGAAATGTGTAATGAAACACATATATATTGATGTTATTATTATTATTTTGTATGCTTTTGAATAGAATGAATATTCGCAAAAGTCAATACTAGTATTATATCAAATAGTATGAAAGTAAGGAAAAGCTCTGGAAGAGATTGTGTTTTGTTATTTGAAGTAACTAAACATTATTCTTATCACTGTTCACAATAGTTCACCGAAATCAGAAGGTGCCTAATGACCAAAATATTGTACAAGAGTATGTGAAGGCTCCAGAAGAGCTAATGTTTTGAGACGCGACGCGAAGGAACTAAACTGACAGTTGAAGATGCATTACAGAATTATGAAGATATTCGCAGAAACGAATATCATAATTGATATTGCATCAGCTTTGTGTTATAAGAGAACATATACTTAACCATAGAAATTTGTACTACATGTATATAAGTACATATGAAAGTGTAAACTAGAAGTTTACAAGATCGGATAACTTTTTGTTTTGGCATGTCCGGTTATACCATCCCGGATACAAATGCGGGAAAAAAAAAGATTGAGATATCATATGGAAATTAAGTGAGAGTTTAGAGAATTCATCAATCAAATAAATGAATATGTTGAGATTTTATAAAAGTGTATGCAGAAAAATACACTCACCATGCAAATCATATATGAATTTTATGATTTTGATTGATGCATCAATTATATCGCCATATATGTATGTTATCTACCGCAACCTGATGTTTGCGAGATTCATTGTTGAATGATGGATATATTTTGATGATTATCCAATCAAACACAAATTCTCTTATGAGAACAAGCTAAGCCTATGATCTCATGTCGAGGCATGCTATTTAGCATATAGTATCATTAATTCGCATGAAATCAACAAGTTATCAAAAGTTTCCCCCTTTAATAAAAATGGTTTTGGTCATGGACCAAACATTTCACATGCTAGAAAATTTGGGTGTGCAGAATACATCCCAATTGCTCCACCACAACATGTTATGTGTTCCATGAGAACTTATGTTGGACATGGTGTCCATTGCAATGAGAGATTTGCCCATGACTCTTTTTGCTAATATCATCATTTTGATGAATTAATTTTTGAACACGAAGGGGGAGAAAAGTAAACAGTTGGGCATAGATGTGAGTTGGAATCATCATTATCTCATTTTGATCCTCAAGCGAAGAAACATGAACTCGAAGTTCATATGGTGATTCATGGAGAGAGAAAAACGTATCGATTGCCAAACGCCTTTTACTCACTAAAAGGAGTGATTATGTCACATGCCCAATTGTGAATGCTCCAATACAAATTAATATCCATATTGGATAATCTAATGAGTCTAAACGAGCGCATGAAGCGTGGTAGACCAATCGGTTCCAAAGATAAAAATCATCAAGAAAGAAAGGAGCTATAAATAAAGATGGTCAACTCAAAGATAAAATAGCTCTAGAAGAGTCAAGTCATATAATTGAGATCATAGTTCCAGAAGAACAGTAGGTACCTGAAAGTTTTAAAATGAAGAGATCTCAATTAATTGCTTGTATGAAAACAGTTGGAAAATTGTATTTATTGTCGACAAGGGTTTTGATTATGCTGCAGCACTGAACGTGATAGATACAAAGAGGATCACAAGTAAAAGTCTAATTGATGCATACAAAGGAATATATATTGGCCAAGATAAAAGAAAGCATTAGACTTACCTGATAAAAGTTTTGGACCAGAAGTCCTTACACCTGAAGATGTAAAAATAACGGGATACAAATAGGTTTTATACAAATGCGTAAGGAAATGTGTGAAATTGTGAGAAATATAGCACAATTTCTCATAAGAGGTTTCTCGTAGAAACCTAACATTACTAATGAGAGGACATACTCTCTTGTGGTGGATGCAACTATATTGTGAAATTTAATAGTTTGGCAGTTCAAGAAGGATGAAATATGCATAGGGTAGACATTGTGATATCCTATTTGTATGGATCCCTTTTGATAATGATATTTATACGAAACTCCCTGAAGGATTAGTTTGCCGGAAGCAAACATGTTACGTTCTCGAGAACATTTATCGATAAAATGACCAGTCCCTAGAATGGATTGAGACAAAATGGATGAATATGGCATATTCATTTAGTGCATCAGAGCATTTGCATTTGGCATGTATGATTTTATTGACATATAGGCTTATGCATGTGACATGTATGATTTTTTATTTATGAGGGTAGTTTGGTTAATTGATGCTGTGTGATTTTGCTTATGACCTTGTGGAATGAAATAATTGCTTGCATACAATTGTGTTAGCTAAGTTTTATATTTATTTAGAAGAAAATAGTTGAGACATTATTTTATAATGATCTCATATGTTTTAGTTGATATGAACTCCAGAAGAGCTTAAGCATGGTTTGCTTAAAGAAAGAAAATTGAACTCTAGAAGAGTTTCATACAACATGGATTGCTTAAAGAAAGAAAATTGTACATGAAGGATTTAAGAAGATCCTTTTTGAATCAGTACGACAATGTCGGAAAAGTGAAAGGGCAATTTTGTATGAAAAAAATACTTACATTCAATAGCCTAATGATCATAAGGTTACTAAAAGTGACAAAGAATCCATTAGGCCTTGAGATAGAAATGAATGATTAGGTCTCGAAGTACCGTATATTTATGTCATTAGAGTGCTGATGTATCTTGCTAGCCACATGATAACCGTTAATTGCATATTTTTACCCCCATTCTTGAGCCGTTTGAGATGTTGATTCTCGTGTTTTAGACT